AAGTGGTAAAAAATGTCCTAGGTCACAGAAAGAACAATACCCTAAGCATTTGTTGTTGTTAGGTGCCATCAAGCCAGTACCAACTCATAGCGACCTTATACACAGCAGAAGGAAATACTGTGTCTGATCCTGGGCCAACCTCACTACTGTTGGCACGCTTGAGTCAGTCCATCTATGCCAATCCATCTCGCTGGGGGTCTTCCTCTTTTTCTCTGACCCTCCACCTTACCAAACATGATACCCTTGTCCAGCGACTGGTCTCTCCTGACAATAAGTCCCAAGTATGAAAGACGAAGCTTAGCCATCCTGGCCTCCAAGGAGCACTCTGGCTGCACTTCTTCCAAAACGAATCTATTGGTTCTTTTGGCAGTCCATGGTACTTTCAATATTCTCCTCCAACACCATAACTCATACGATCTTCCTTATTCACTGTCCAGCTTTCGCATGCATATGAGGTTATTGAAAATACCATGGCTTGGGTCAGGTGCACCTTAGTCCTCAAGCTGACATCTTTGCTCTTCAACACTTTAAAAAGGTCTTGTGCAGCAGATTTGCCTAAAGCAATACGTCGTCTGATCTCTTGACTGCTACTTCCATGAGTGTTGATAGTTGATCCAAGAAGAATAAAGTCCTTGACAACTTCAATCTTTTCTCCATTGATAAGAATGTTATTTATTGGTCCAGTGGTGAGGATTTTTTCTTTATTTACATTGAGATGCAATCCATACCGAAGGCTGTGCTCTTTGATTTTTATCAGTAAATATTTTAAGTCCTCTTCACTTTCAGCAAGCAAGGTTGTATCATCTGTATATTGCAGGTTTTACTAGGTATAAAATTCTAGTTTGACTGATTTCTCTCGATGGTCTGAAGACACTATTGTACTGAGGTTCATTATTTCTAACAAGAAGTCGGCTTTCAGTGTAGGTAATCCATCTTTTCTCCCTGGTTGATTTTAAGATTATCTTTTTTCCTCTGGTGTTTTAAGTTTTTACATCGATTTCTTGGATTTCACTATTGTTGTTGTTGTTAAGTGCTGTCGTAGCTACCCTGCAGAGAGTTTCCGAGGAGCAGCCGGTGAGTTTGCATCACTGCCCTACAGCCCCACACTTGGTTCTTAAGTCTGAGGACCCACGATTACAGCAGCTATAGAAAATTCAGATATTATCACCCAAAATGTACCTCTTCCACCCTTTCTGTCTTCTCTGCTTCTGTAATGCCCATAAGCCAGTGACCTGTTAACAACATCTCTTCTACATTTTAGCCTCTTTATGTGCAGTACTTTGGACCTAATTTCTTCATATTTCATTTCATTCTTTATTACTCTTTAGTTTAATTTTTGTTTTGAACTAAGTTACACACACACCGTGTAAAGAGCCAAATCGTTCTGCAAGCCTTGGGGCAAAAATACACTTCAGTGACAATTATTTCTTCTTTTCTGCTTCCCACGAACGTTCAAGTCTTTAAGTCTTTTGATTGGAGTTTTTGTTGTCACAAATCTAAATAGCAGCTGCTTGCTGCCCATTCAGTTGTGGCATGGTGTGTTGTTTCTGTTGTGGTGCTGTAGGATAGGTACTGAACCACACGGTCAGTTTGAAATGTGAGGTTGGCATTCGAACTTACCTACCAGCCACTCCTCAGAAACCCTATCGGGGTGGCTATGAGTAGGAAAGGACTCAACTGCGCATCATAGTTTCCGTACCGTGGATGATGTGGATTTAGCTTTTTTTTTGACATTTCTTCCCTCCCCATCATAATTCCTCTGTCAACATACACGTGAGATAAACTTTTTCCAAACTTGAGATATGCTTGGTTAAATTGACAGTAAGTCTTTATGCTTTATGAAAACTTGAGTTGCCTCTGAGACATGATTCCTTTTCTCTTACTGCGCTTATTAACTTTCTCCCTCAAGTTATAGACTTAGCACTTAGTTCTCTATGCACATGTGGTTGGTGTTAGGTGCCAGTGAGTCCGTTCCAACTCATAGAGACCCCTCATGCAACAAAACTAAACGCTGCTCAGTCCCACACCATCCTCAGCCCCTTGTGGCAGTCACTGTGTCAGTTAAGGGTCTTCCTGCTTTTTGATGACGTTATAATTTACCAAGCATGATGTCTTTCTCCTGGAGCTGGTTCCTCCTGATTACACATCCGAAGTAGGAGAGATGAAGTCTTGTCATCATCGCTTGTAAGGAACATCCTGGCTGTACTTCTTCCAACACAATATTCTCTGTACTTCTTCCAACACAGTATTCTCTGTACTTCTTCCAACACAATATTCTTCTCCAACACATTGATTTAAATTTCTCGGCTCTTCTACAGTCCTCCTTATTCATTGTCCAACTTTCACATGTATATGAGGCTATCGGATTTGCCCAATGCAGTATTTTGTTTAATATCTTGACTGCTGCTTCCATGGGCCTGGACTGTGGATCCAAGTAAAATGAAACCCTAGACCACCGGACCCTTTCCCTGTTTGTCTTGATGTTGCTCAGTGGTCCAGTTGTTGAGGTGTAGTCCATACTAAAGTCTTTGATCATCATCAGTAAGTGCTTCAAGTCCTCCTTGCATCCAGCACACAGCGTTCTGTCATCTGCAGGTAGCAGGTTGTTAACGTAATCCTAACCTCTCTTCTTAGCATGCCCAAATACATTTGCTTTGAAGAAGCCTTTCGACATGTCCACTCCGGAGGGGTTGATGCCCAGGCTCTCAGCTCATCTCACCCTCGGCCACCATCCTCATCTCTCCCCTTGCTTTTTCCTTGCGTTTGGTTTCCCTAGGTTCTGGATACTTCTCGTTCAATGCGCTGCCTTGTCTGGGGACAGCAAATCCTCCAGTAGCTTCCACACACTTCTGAAAATGTGTTCGTTTATCTTCACCCCACATTCAGATGGCAATTTGTACTAGGAGTATAACTTTGTGTTGGAAAGAATTCTCCAAATTTTGAAAGTATTACAACATTTTTATTTGAGGAGCTTCAGCTGTTGTATTGAAATTTTTGCATCTTTTGTTTTCTTGATCCATTGTATGAAACTTGTTTTATTCTTTCTGGAAACTTCTATGATCTGTTTTCTTTTTCCAGTATTCTGAATTTTATAATGGTATGTCTTGACTTTGTTCTCTTTCACCTTTTGTCCTTGGCCTTGGCAGACTTTTAATTTGGTCACCTATATGTCCTGGTGTGGCGCTGTGGGTTGAACTGCAAGGTTGGTGGTTCAAGCTCACCAGCTGCTCCTTGGAAACCCTATACAGGGTCACTGTGGGTCGGAACTGACTTGACGGCACTTAACAACAATAACAACATATCCTTTGAAATCCTGGTGTGGCGCTGTAGAATGAGCACTGGACTGTTAACTGCAAGGTCAACAGTTCTAACCCACCAGTTGCTCCTTGGAAACCCAATACAGGGTTGCTGACTTGGAACTGACTTGACAACAACAACATACTTTTGCTGTTGTTGTTAAAAGCCATCTGGTCGGTTCTGACTCAGAGAGACCCTGTAAAGGGTTTCCTAGGAGCAGCTGGTGAGCTTGAACCGCTGACCTTGTGATTAGCAGTCCAGTGTTGATCCTAAAGTGCCACACTAGGACTCCGTGATGTTGGGAGATTCCCAGTATGTTTGCTGGTTTCCTGTTTAAGGCTGAGGCATATGCTTACTGGACGTCCCTAGTGCTGGGGGGAGGTGGGTGTTTGCTCACAGTGGCTTCATCAGAAGGTACCATGGCCAGACCATTTCACTGGGAAACCTCAGCATCAGACTCCTCAAAGAGAGCGTTTCCAATTTCCTTGTGGAATTCTAGGAGCTGAATAAGGGAAGGCAAGGCAGAGGTGGGGTGGTCTCAGCAGTCACTTTCCTTCCTTTGTTCACGTTAACATCTCAGCCCTCCCTGGTTTTAACCCTGAGAGCAGTCTCCATCCTCTGCCACTGGGAGTGGGAGGGAGCCTGGGGACTAGATTCAGCCTGTACCTCCCCTCACCCACTGCAGGGGACCCTGTCTTTGGGAGCTGCTTCCCCAAGTCCTCTCCTCCCAGCCTCTGCCCTTCCTTTTCCTACCTCCTACCCTTTAGCCCAGCCTGTGAAGGAGTCTCAGAAATTTCCTTTTCTGCTCTCACTTCAAGCTCTGAGAGGCTCTGAGGGGGATCTGCCCACATTCCCTTCTGTGGAGTGCATTTGCTTTTCTAGTTCACCCACCCAAGCTGCCACTGACGGTGGTCTTTTCAGTGGATCCTGCTTTGAGATGATGAGAGACAGGTTCCAATTAAAACAGGGGTTTTCCCCTGAGGCTCAAACCCTTCTGAGTTTGTTACCATCTGAGGTCTCAGAGAGGCTGGCTTACTTCCCAAGGCCTCTCTGGGGTGCAGGTTGCAGGTAGACTGTTAGGAATTCTTGCTTAGAGTTTCTACCTGCGTTAAGGCAAGGGTCTTATCCCTGCTCAGGCTGAAAAAAACCTATGAAAACCTCAGGACAGCGTGAAGCAGTTAATGGTTGCAGACACTGAGCCGTTTGGGAATGCCGTTCTGCTTTCAGGCCCCCCAGGGACTCCACCTGCATCCCTGCTCATGAAGAGCCCTGGCATCACAGCCATGGCAGAGAAGGAATGGCCCAGCACTTGTCCTTCTCTTCCCTCCGTGACACAGAAACAAAGTTTGTTGGTAAAGGACAGGCCAGGCTCCCCTCCCAGCCAAGAAGTGACCTCACCTCCCGCTGTGTCTACAGATGGGGATGTGGCTCCTACCCACTAGCTTCTGGTGCTCCTGGGAAACTCTGATGGGCATTTAGGAGTAGGGACAATGGCCACCAAGGCACATGGGTCAGGAAGGGGTTGCATTCTGCCAGCCTGTGTATTGGGCATGTCAGTTGCTGGAGAACATTCTCCCAGGCGAAGGGGCACCGACACCAAGAAGAATCAGGGCTGTGCCCCCGGCTCATTCCTGCACGTCTCTGTTCCTTCGCCAGCGTGACGCCGGACTTTGTGCCCTTGACACTCTGCTCTTCTCCTACAGGTACAATGACTGCTTCGCCAGCGGGGACTATTGCAACAACTGCAACTACAACAATTGTGGCAGCAATTTACGTCATGAAATTGAAAGGTTTAAGGCCATCAAGGTAACAAGGCTCTGGAATGCAGTGAATGCACTGAAGAAACGCTGACAAGTGCTTGCAGTGTTCCTCTGGCTATCTCCCAAGCTCGCCCAGGTCCATTCTGGGAAAGCCCAAAGTTTTGAAGCTAGGCAATGACTCTCTTTCGGAGAGTGAGGGTGTTGACCAGCAATGGGGAGGGGAAGGATGCAGGAAGAGGAAGGGCAGCCCAGCAGAGCTCACTCGGCCTTGTCTTGGGCCTTAGAAATGTGGTACATAGGACGGGGCAGATGAGCCTGAGGTGGAACAGTGTAGTCTGAGAAGGTCAAGAGGTCTGTCTGCGGAGAGCTGGGCGAAAGCTGAACTGTTACTTTTTAAAAAATGTTACAAACCTCCTGCCCTGGTTTATAAGATTTTTAAAAGATGCAAGTCTAGATTAAGGAGAACCTAGGCTTTCCTGGAAGGGGGTCCTGGAGGCCCCTCTGCGGGAGGCTAGAGGCAGGAGACCAGAGGGACAGCTAGGTTCTGGCCATCAGCCTATTCCCAGGGAGCCCATGTCCCCTGCCCAGTGGAGCTCCCAGGAGGATCATCAAGTGTAGACTTCAGATTCTCCTGTCAACACAACAGATAGGCATGGTCTGCTTATGTTGTCTGTCTAAAATAGTTAATTTTCCTTTTGAACTATGGGCAATTCCTTGAAAAATCTCGACCCTGAACAGCCAGATACCTAAGACCCACGAAACCCCGGCTGTCTGTACACGTGAGTGTTCTCAGTGGCAGCTTCTTCAGGGGTGGAGAGGACAAGCTGCGCTGAAAGTACTGGTCTGACAGAATGCGAACGGGTTGTGACCACTTTGCGAAAGTATTTGGCAAGGGCTCAGGTAGTGGTGTGGTTATGAGTCGGGCTGCCAAACTCAAGATGAGCAGTTCGAAACTACCAGCTGTTCCATGGAAGCAAGAGGAGGCGTTCTGCTCCTGTAAAGATTGACAGCCTCGGACACCCTGTGCAGGGTCACCATGAGTCAGAACCAACTCCACAGTACTTAACACCACCACCAACAACAACTGAAGTTAAACCTTTGCATATTTTTAGAAATGGAATTGCATATTCAGCAATTCCACTTCTAAAAATATAACCAGCAGAAGAAATCAATGTTAATGTCCACCAAGAGACCTATCGAAGAATGTTCAGAGCAGTTATATTCATAAGAGGCCCAAACTGAGAGCATCCCAAACGCTCACTGTGGTCTGCTGTCTACAGTGGATTAGAACACGCAGTGAACAGGAAAGAGGCGCAGCTGTACAGGCCAAGGAGGTCGAATCTCAGACAGAAACCAGAACGAAAGAGCCAGGCCCGGAGGCCCTACTGCGTGACGTCTTAGAGATAGATGGTGGCCTGGGGCTCTTGTGTGTGTGTGACGGGGGGTGCACTGCTGAAGAAGTCATGTGGGCTGCTGGGGGCGCTGGAAATTACCTCTGCCCGAGCTGGAGTACTGGGAACCTGGGTGTGTGCAAGTGTACATATTCTTCACACGTCACTCTCTGTGAGTCCACTCCAGGCCAGCACTGTCCAGTAGAAGCTTCTGCAATGACAGGACTGTGGTATCTGATAGCACAGAGGAAGGCAGGGGGCCCCTCCACTTTGAATTCTTTATTGTTGGAATCTTTACAGTGAGCAATGAGTCACATCAAAACTCAAAACTATGTATGCATCTGTATAGATGGGTGGATGAATGGGTGGGTGGGTAGGTGGGGTTAATTGGATGAATGGATAAAGTAGGTAGGTAGATAGGAAAACTACAAGAAACACACAAGCAGAACCAACAACTGTGTGTGTTGTGTGAGAAAACAGCCCAGTGGCAGAGAGCCAAATCCTGTCACTTACCATCTTGGCCAAGATGTCTACCCTCTCCGTGCCTCTGTTTCTTTATGTGCAAGATGGAGGTAGCAACCATCACATGTACTTTACAAGGTTGCCGCAAGGGCTGGATGAGATAACCCGTGTAAATGGCAGAGAAAGACGCCGGCACATGGGGAATGTTTTCACATGTGCAAGCTATTGGTACAGCGTCAAAGTCTCAACTCTCAAAGGAGCAGCTGTTGAAGACATGCTGGGAGATGGGTCTGTGCAGCGTGGCCTGCCGTGGACTCACACCTGACTTAGATGCTCATTTTCACAGCCAAGTTTGGAGGAACAATGGCAGCCTTCAGTGGGAAGCCCTACGGCGGCTAACAGAAACGTCGTCAGTTCCAACCCACCTGCCACACTGTGAGGAAAAGATGGGCCAAGTTGTTGTTGTTATTAAGTGCTATGAAGTTGGTTCTGACTCAACAACCCTGTATAGCGTTTCCACGGAGCGGCTGGTGGGCTTCAGCTGTCAGTCCAGTGCTTACCCTGCAGTGCCACACCAGACTCTTCTTGGTAGCCCTAGGGGGCAGTGCTGCCCTGTCCTTTCAGTGTGGACTAGCACAATCAAGGGTCAGAGCCACCTTCTTAACGATGGGAGGAGAGGCCGGTTGCTGGTGGCTCCTTGGGAGATCACAGCTGTGTTGAATGATGACAGGTTGATGAGACATTACTTTCGAATAAGAAAGCGTGTCTCTATGGAGGTAAATGTTTTCTGTCTTAGGCGTGTCTTGATCGAAACCCAGAAGTGTTTCAACCAAAGATCGGCCTGGGGAGACTGGCTGAGGCCAAGCCGTGGCCCAACAAAGGCTGCAACTGCAAGAGGTCCGGCTGCCTCAAGAACTACTGTGATTGCTACGAGGTGAGTCAGCAGGCAGGCCGCACGGGCATCGCGGGCCTGAGCAACTACAAAGTAAAAGTTGGCTGCCACTGAGAAAGAGCGCCCAGGTGAACCAGCATTCATTTTCCAAACATAAAACCGAACCTGGTGTGGAGCGGGAGGGTACCAGCTTGCTGTGTCTTTGTGTCTGACGTTGGGTGGCTCCCAAGGTGGCTGCACGTGCCCCTCACTGAGCAGAACGGATGTTCTCGGTGGGCAGTGGATGCCTGGCCCAAGGCATCTGATTGACTGGGGGGAAGGGGAAGCAATGGGAACTGCTCCTCCCTGACTCACGGCCCCTAGGTTGGCAGCTTCTGCTCCATTTATCTGAAAATTGGCAGATTCCACCCACATTCCGTGCCCCGATTCCACACGTATAAACAAAGAATTCTTTAAGACCCAAGCAGAATTTGTCAGCCTTGCTGCCTATGACAACCCCTGGTGTGCTGGCTGACCTAATTTGGTGGGTGCGTTCTATATTCCTAGGCCAAGATTATGTGTTCTTCGATCTGCAAATGCATTGGCTGCAAAAATTATGAGGAAAGCCCAGAACACAAAACCCTCATGAGCCTGCAGAACAACATGGAAATCGGGGGGCTGGAAGGCAGCCATCCTTTATCACCATGCAAATTCTCGGGACCCCCCAAGTCCAGGAAAGATAGGTGGGTACCCACACAGGTGTGTTGGAGAGGATAGGCCTGCAGGGACGGGATCAGGGGCCAGGAGAGGGACCGACCTGTACCCCAAGCTTCTTGTTTACTACAGGCCCTGCTGCCGGAACCTGTGTGTCCCCCTGTTTGTTCCCGAAGCCCGGCCTCTTTGTCCTCATTGCCCAGGTGGTGTGGACCATGAGCAGGCATGCAGGACTCGGGATAATGCCAGAACTCTCACTGGCCAGGAGCAGCCAGGGACCGAGGGATTTTAGACTCTGCCTTCCCAGAGCAGTGGGGTAATCGGAGGCCCCAGTATAATCCCATAGTTCTCAAACTTGAAGTAATCCTGTTTCTGTGAACGAGACAAGATTCATTCATTTAAAATTGTCGTTAAGTTCAGTATACAGGCTTGCTTCCGAGATACTGTGGCTCAGGTCCACAGCACCACAATAGAGTGAAGGTTCTGTCCACATCACAGAGGAGGGATGCTGACCATGGCCTGTAGTGGGCAACAGCATTGTCAAGCCGTTTGAAAAATTGTGAGAATGTTCAAGCTGTGGCACAGACACTGAGCACGTAACATTGGGGAAATGGCGCCGACAGACTTACCTGACGCAGCAGGATGGCCGCCGTCATTAAGTCTGTGCGTGAATAAAAAGTCACATCTGCAAAGCACAATAAACAGAGCGCGCCTGTCATGCCACGACAAAGTGGCTGATGTTGTTCATTAGCAACACCTTGCAAAGCTAAGCTTGTGCTTATTTGCTAGAGGGACATCAGGAATGCCCATCGCTGGAGCCTACAGGGCTCTCGGTCAGTAAAAACTGACCAAAGCTGTATGCTTGAGTCCTGGGTGACCGCGAGGGCTGTCCCTGAAACTGGCCTGTGTCCGGCACATCCGGCTGACTGTTGGGGAGGCCAGGACTCCCCTGGCCCTAGGTCAGCTCTAATCTCTCATCGTAAAGGTCAGCAGATGGATGCTGTGCAGGGTTTGCAGGACTGCCACCTTACAGACGTAGGTTGCCAGGTCTTTCTTCCAAGGTGCCTCCAGGTGGACTCGAACCTCCAACCTTGTAAGTAGTAGCCAGGTGCCTAGCTGCTCGAGCCACCCTAAGATTCCACAGTCTTTTCACAATTCCTGAATTGTCTTTACGTAGACATTGACCCAATCCTATCCCTTAGCTCCATTTTCAATGGTTTATCCAATTTTCCTGTGACTACTGCAGCTGGCCCTGCAAGACGAGATGTAATTTGTCTCCAGGGGGCTGTGCCAAAGCCATCCTGAGACGCCCCAGAGGGCCCTGCGGGCAGTAAGCAGCGGATTGTCTTAAGTGCCCACCCTGTGCCTAGGGTCCTCAAGGCCTCCTAATGTGTTCGTGTTAGAGGGACGTGGAGGCCATGTGGGCTGCCCAGCCTGCTCTGTGCTGCTTCTAAAAGCTGTCCTCCGTGTGGTCATTGCAGGGCCGCAGGTTCTCAGCCTTGGGATGTAGCTGATGCATTGGCATGGCATCCGTGGGCATGCGCGCCTGGCGGTGACCTTCCCGTCTGTCTGTCTGTCTGCAGGCAGCCGTTCACCTGCATCTCCCGGGAGGTGGTGGAGACCACCTGCGCCTGCCTGCTAGCCCAGGGGGAGGAGGCCGAGAAGGAGCACTGCTCCCAGTGCCTGGCAGAGCAGAGGATCCTGGAGGAGTTTGGAAGATGTCTGTCCCAGATTCTCCACATCGAGTTCAAGTCTAAAGGACTAAATATGGAATAGGAGCACCTGCGGAAAAGGAAACCTGGAGCTTGGGAAGGTGGCATATGGGCGGAAGGCCAGGTTTGTATCAGCAACTAGGGTCTTCAGGGCAAAGTCCCCTCACAGAAGGACCCTGAGCAGTGAAGAGAAGGGAAGTCCCGCCCACTGACTTCCTCCTCTGGCGGGGTGGGAACCTGTCCACATGGAATTCTCTTGGGTTTTGTATAATCAAATGATTTGGAAATGAAGTTTGTCTCCAAAAGGTCCATTAGGATACTGTTTAATCTCTCTGGAAACTTCCTGCATGCATGCCCCAGAGAATCTGCCCTGTGGCCACCCCCCAGGGTCACCTGAGTGGCCCATGTGTCCAAGGCCCCTGGAGGCAGCTCAGCATCAGGTCCCCACCAGCAGAGCCCAGCTGTGGGCCTCGAGTTCTCGCTGGTTCAGAGTTTCTGTTTGAATTGAGGAAAGGCTCTGGGATTGCACGATCTTCTGGACAGTTCTTGCTACACATTCTGTTGTTGTTTGTAACATGGGGTTAAACGTGTTTCTAGGCACCAGCAGTGGTTAGTTAGTTGACTGTATTTTGGTTCTGTTTCAAAAGTAAAGATGAATAAAAATGTCAAATGTCTTCAGTTGTCATTTACTTAGTGACTGAAAATACACGTGTCCCAGATCCCAACAGGTGGGTTGCTGTGGAGTCCATTTGGACCCAGGGCAACACAAAGTTCAGAGGAGAACTGCCCCAGATGACTCCCAAGGCACCCACATCTTTCTCTCATGGAGTGGCTGCTAGGTTTGAACTGCCAGCCTTCCGGTTAGTAGTAGGTAAGCATATTAATCACTGTGTCATAAACCCAAAAACCTGTCCCCTCGATTCGATCCCAGTTTACAGTGATCCAATAGGACGGAGCAGAATGGCCCTACTGGCAGTTAGTGTGGCCCCTGTAAAGTTCCTAACTGAATTCACAATTCGTGATCGCACGAGACACAGGAGAAATGTCTCCGGCCAGAGGGTTCCCGAGCTGATAAGCCTTTACGGAAGTAGACTGGCGCAGCTCCCTCCCTTGGAGAGGCTGGTAGGTTTGAACCATTGACCTTTTGGTCAGCAGCCGAACACTTAGCTATATGAATTGTTGTTACGTGGCGTCGGGTCAGTTCTGGCTCACTGACCATCTAGGGTTTCCAAGGTTAGCAGTCCAGTGCTGAGACCCTACAGTGCCACACGTGGATACCCTCCCTGAAAGACATATCGAAACAATGCTCTTCATGTTTATGTATTCACCGAGGGAGTTGGCAACCTGCTGTTAAGTGCTGTCGAGTTGGTTCCAACTCCTAGCCAATCTGTATAAGGTTTCAGAGGAGCGCCTGGTGGGTTTGAACTGCTGACCTGAGGTTAACAGTCCAGTGCTGATCCTACAGCGACACACCTCCTGGTGGTCTGCTGGCCACTTAGAGGATGGTCTAAAAAGCACCCTAATTAACACCACCAGGATGTTAGGGGCATGCAGTGTGAAGGGGCATGAGTTGGCTGGCATTCTGTAGGGCAGTATTTGGGGTGACCTGGGACTCCTGGTGTGGCGCTGTAGGATCAGCACTAGACTGCTAACCACAAGGTCAGCAGTAAAACCCACCAGCCGCTCCTCGGAAACCCTACACGGGGTCCCTGTGAGTCAGAACTGACTTGATGGCACTTACCAACAAGAACCCGTCGGACAGAGATCCTGCATTGCCCAGACACCAACACTTGGAGTCGGGGCTTTGGGTAATTTCAGCCACTCTGATAGTTGTGAAGTAACATCTCATTGTGGTTGTAATTTGTGTTTCTCTGACACTACCGCACAGTCTGTTGTACGGTGTGGTGACTCACGTGTCACTGTGATGCTGGCGGCTACGCCACCAGTGCTTCAAATACCAGCAGGGTCACTTGTGGTGGACAGATTTCAGTCGAGCTTCCAGACTGAAGACTAAGAAGAAAGAAGTGGTCCACTTCAGAGGGGTTGTTGTTGTTAAGTGCCGTCCAGTCAGTCCCTACTCATAGCCACCCTGTATAGGGCTTCCGAGGAGCAGCTAGTGAACTTGAACCTCTGACCTTGAGGTGCAAAGCAACCTTGCAGTCCAGCTCATTTACCCACAGTGCCACACTCACCAAAAGCCTTACGAATGGCAGCACTCGCTCATCTATGCCAAGAAATTCATTAGACGACTGCCTGGCCCACCAACTAGAAGAGTCCCCATTCCCCTAGAATTGTACCCATTCTAAAGAAGTCATCGGACAATATCATTAATATCTCATACAAGTGAAAATTTGCTAAAGAAAATCCAAAAACAGCTGCAAACGAACACTGACAGAGAACTACAAGAGGAACAAACCAGATTCAGAAAGGGGCGTAGAACGAGGGATGTCATTGCTGACATCAGGTGGCTCTCGGCTAAAAGCAGAGAATACCAGAAAGATGTTTACCTGTGCCTTATTGACTATGAAAATGCTTTCGATTGTGTGGATCATGACAAACTATGGACAAGTGAAGTATGAGTATTCCTGAACACTTAATTGTGCTCATGAGGAACCTGTACATGCACCAAGAGGCAGTTGTTCGAACAGAACATGGGAACACTAAATGTTTTAAAATTAGGAAAGGTGTAAGACAGGGTTGTATTCTTTCACCATACTTTTTCATCCTGTATGCTGAGCAAATAATCCGAGAAGCTGGGTTCTATGAAGAAAAACGTGGCATCAGGATTGAAGGAAGACTCATTAACAACCTGTGATATGCAGATGATATATACAAGCTTGCGTGAAGAAAGCAAAGAGGACTTAAAATAGTTACTGATGAAGATGAAAGAGCACGGCCGTCGGTATGGATTGCACCTCAATGTAAAGAAGACAAAATCCTCACCACTGGACCAATAAGCAACATCCATATAAATGGGGAAAAGATTGGAGTTGTCAAGGACTTCGTTTTGCTCAGATCAACCATCAACACACATAGAAGCAGCCGTCAAGGAATCAAACCAAGTATTGCCATGAGGCAGCTGTGTTGCACAAGGCTTCTTTAAAGTGTTGAAGAGCAAAGATAATAGTTTGAGGACTAAGGTGCGCCTGACCCAAGCCGTGGCATTTTCATTGACCTCGTATGTGTGTGAAAGATGGGCAGTAACTTCGGAAGCCATAGAGAAATTGATGCCTTTGAGTTGTGGTGTTGGAGGAGAATATTGAAAGTGCTATGGACTGCCAAAAGAACCAACGGATCAGTGTTGGAAGAAGTGCAGCCAGAGTGCTCCTTGGAGGCCAGGGTGGCCAGACTTTGTCTCTTGTACTTTGGACATATTATCAGGAGGGATCAGTCACTGGAGAAGGATGTCATGTTTGGTAAAGTGGAGACTCGGAGAAGAGGAAGACCCCCAATGAGCTGGATTGGCACAGTGGCAGCAGCAATGGGCTCAACTGTAGTAATGATTGTGAGGCTGGCATGGGACCGGGCAGTGATTTGTTCTGTTTTGCATAAGGTCTGTGTGAGTCGGTGCCAACTCGATGGCACTTCACAACAACATTTGGTCAAACATTTAATTAACTCACACTCCTGGTGTGGTATTGTAGGATCAGCACTAGACTGTGAACCACAAGGTCAGCAGCTCAAAGCCATCAGCTGCCCTTTGGAAACCCTAATCAGGGTCACTATGGGTTAGAACCGACTCAACTGCGCTCAACAACAGCTTATGGGGATGGAGTCCTGGTGTGGACCACTGGATTACTAGCCACAAGATAGGTTGTTTGAACCCAATAGCTGCTCCTCAGAAACCCTATAGAGGGTCACCATCAGCACTGGACTGTGAACCACAAGGTCAGCAGTTGAAACCTACCAAGTTGCTGCTTGGAAACCCTATGCAGCGTAGCTATGAATCAGAACAGACTCCACGACACCTAACAACAACAACAATTTATGGTTTAAGGAGATCTTGTGGTTGAGGACTCAGTTGCTAACTGAAAAGTTGACAGTTCAAGCCCACTAGCCACTCCTCCGGAGAAAGATGAGGTTGTCTGCGTCTGTAAAGATTTACAGCTTCAGAAACCCTGAAGAAGGAATCTCTGCTCCTCTGAACTCCAGACTCAGCAAGAGTGGGCATCGAGTAGACGGCTGTGGGTGTGGTTTTGATTTATGAGTTCTCCGTTCTGTTCCGCTTATCTGTGCCAACAGCACACAGTCTTGAGTACTGAAATCTAGTCAAACAATTCTTCCCACTCTTACTTTCTCAAAAGTGTTCTAGCTATTTAGTTCCTTAGCTTTTCCATAGAAATTTTAGAATAACCTATGTCTTCAAAATCTATTGCTGGTAAGGCAGGCTGGCTGGGGGTGGGTTGTGTACAACCCACAGGCTCATAGTGACCCTGTACAGGGTGTCTAAGGGTGTCTAAGGCCACAGGATGGAAGGGGATGGGCTTGGGGATCCTGGCCAGCAACAGTTTCGGGGAACTTGTCAGACTAGATTCCAGCCCCAGCCCCAGCCCCCACCATGGGGTCAGGCCAGGACTAGATATTTGGGGGTTCTGATACTACCCCAGTTGAGCATTACCCCAGTGGATGGCGAGGAAGGAGTGTGGAGGATGTACCACCTGCCCGAGCTGGGGGTCTGACAATGCGGGGCTGGGACTGAAGAGCTGAGGCCACAGGTGTGGAGAGGTGTGAAGAGGAGCGTGGGAAGGAGAAGTGGTCATTATAAGCCTTCTATGACCAAATTATGTTCTGCTTTGAATTTTTTATTGACACTAATGGAAGGCATGCTTAAATCAAGGGAATTTTTCTTTTGGGGCTAATATGGATTTGCATACATATGTGGGACACATTTGTCCCAAAAGGCTTTGGAGGTGGAGTGGGTGGCGTGAGGTCCATGTCTTCAGATTTCTGTTAGAGGAGAACATTGAAAGTGCCATGGGCTGCCAAAAGAACCAACAGATCTGTGTTGGAAGAAGTGCAGCCAGAGTGCTCTTTGGAGGCCAGGATGGACAAACTTCATCTCTC